AGAGAGAGAGAGAGAGAGAGAGAGAGAGAGAGAGAGAGAGAGAGAGAGGGAGAGAGGGAGAGGAGGGGCATACTTTACCAGAACAGGCTGCCAGCGGTCACTGCGTCCTGAGGCTCTGCTGCTGGAAACTGCTGTGCTTCTGGGGCCTAGTACAAGGGTACCTGGAATGGGCATCTGGACAGTGTGGTATAGTCCCCAAAGGGACCCCTGAAGGTAAAGTCCAGCTGGAGTCAGGGCTGGGCATAAGTGCTTCCGCTGTCCGTGGTGTATTGACAGCCTGACTCCCCAGCTGTGGCCAGCCGACCCACTTCGGGGGTGGCCATACTTCTGTGCTCTGACGGGTTTCAAGAGTACAGAAATGGAAAGAGGGGGCTGGGTCTCCAGCTACTGCCATGGTACTTCCGGCTACCCACGTGGGTTGTTGTTTACAGCACACAACGTTCTTCCTCCTTAAGAGTCTTGGGAACTGCTGCCCATCCCCCGTCCCATAGGTCAGCCAAGGTGACCAGAGAGTCCAGCTCAACTGGGGCCTCTCTAGGGTTCTCTGTTGTCGCTGTGTCTCTCCCATCACCTTTGCCCTAAGGAGGGTAAAGGAGAAGTTCCTGGTATCTTGGGGGTTCACCCTGTGATCTTGCCTACTGGCTCTCATGGAGGCCTTCAGAAGAGTGGGTATAGTGGCCAGCTGGTCTCAGACATACACCAAGATTCCACCTGAGTTGGAAATGAATTAGGGATACCAGTCTCACAGAACTACTTACTACCAATACATCTCACAGGTGATCCTGACCAGCTAGAACCATGACACTGTGGCAGGAGGCAGCTGTGAGCCCTTGGTCTATGTATATTCAATGCCTGCTGTGAGGGAGTCTTAGAGGAGGGCATAGATGGCCAGGGAAAAACACTATACTCTCCTCTCCTGGTGACTCTACTTCTGGGCCAGCACCCATGGGCTCCTAAGAGTGTTGGAGTGCTTGCTACTGGCTGAAGTGAGACCATCATATCTTCCCAAGATGTGGGATCACCATTTTAGGTTGATATTCTCAAGGTTGTGCCTCCTGGGCTGAACTGGGCTTTGTGGAACTGCCCACCCACCCTTATCTGGCCAAGTAGGTAAAGGTTGAAGCAGGTCAGAGTTGACCCTGTCTTCCCCACTTTCTGGGCCACGTGCCATACCATGTTAGGCACAGTGACTCATGGGGACAGACAGTTGGGAAATACCAGGCACAGGGCAGGTTCCAATCCCAGCCTGCCATCCCCAGGGTGGTGGCCTGCCTCTTTCCATTTAGGTGGCAAAGTCCCAACTGTGAGCCAGCCCCTAGTGTGGACATGGGCATCTTAAGGATCAACAGACTGTCGCACATCTGAGTACCTCCTGGGTGTGGAGTCCTGGGGGAAGCATGGTTACTAAGCTGGGAGAGTCGTCCCTAATCCTGGTCCTGCTGTCCCAGGTGAAGCAGGTGCCAACATTATTGAGGTGTCCAAGGAGGCACGGAAGCGGTTTCTGGGCCCTTTGCACCCTTCCTTCAACCTGGTGAAGACCATCCGTGGCTGTCTTCTGAAGACCCTGCCTGCTGATTGCCATGAACGTGCCAGTGGACGCCTGGGCATCTCCCTGACTCGTGTTTCAGATGGAGAGAATGTCATCATATCCCACTTTAGCTCCAAAGATGAGCTCATCCAGGTAGGCCCTGAAGAAATGGTGCTGGGGGGGTATGGGATTAACTCAAGGCCGGTGCTACTCCTGCCCTGTATCTTGTCCTTCAGGCCAATGTCTGCAGCACTTTTATCCCAGTATACTGTGGCCTCATCCCTCCTACCCTCCAAGGAGTGGTAAGTATGTATCCCTGCTTAGCCCTGCCCTGGAATGACAAGCATCGTCTACTGTCTGGGCCGTAGGATAAAGGGGTGGAGGAGAAAGGCCAGCAGGGCACCTCGCTCCTCTCCAGTCCCTCACTGCCTGTTGCCTCACTTCCCATGACTCAAGATGCAGGGCAGCCCTGGGGAGATGCACACTTCCTGTGGCTGGTGCCTATCCCAATTTCATCTGTTTGCTCATTTGCTGAGTCCCCAGGAGCCAATGCCTAGTGGGCAAAAGGCTCAGATGGAATAGCTACCAGATAGCACTTCCAGAACACCCAGCGGGCCCCTAACCATGTGACTACGAATGTGTGTTCTTGCCAAGCGCTACGTGGACGGCGGCATTTCGGACAACTTGCCACTCTATGAGCTGAAGAATACCATTACAGTGTCCCCGTTCTCAGGAGAGAGTGACATCTGCCCACAGGACAGCTCCACCAATATCCATGAGCTTCGCGTCACCAACACCAGCATCCAGTTCAACCTGCGCAATCTCTACCGCCTCTCAAAGGCTCTCTTCCCACCCGAGCCCATGGTGAGCCAGCACAGCTAGTCCTGACTGTGCTGGGGGAGAGAGCTGCTGGGACAGCACTGGGACTCTTGTATGCTTTTCTAAGCCAGGCCAGGTTGTCGGTGGAAGCAGCTGTAAGACTTACCTGTTACGGCAGGACGTAACTGTGCCGGTCTGGACTGAAGTATCCATTCCTCTCACAGGTCCTCCGGGAGATGTGCAAGCAGGGCTACAGAGACGGACTTCGATTCCTTAGGAGGAATGGTGTGTGGACAGCCCTGGGTTGGGAGAACCTGGCTCTGCAATGCCCCCTGCTGACCATAAACTCTGATGGCATCTCTGTCACTCCACCCCCAACCCAGGCCTATTGAACCAGCCCAACCCTTTGCTGGCGCTGCCCCCGGTTGCCCCCCAGGAAAAGGATGCAGAGGAAGCTGCTGTGTCTGAGGAGAGGACTGGGGAGGAGGACCAATTGCAGCTCCATGGACAAGATCGAATTCTAGAGCACCTGCCTGCCAGACTCAATGAGGGTGTGCCATGGGGAGGGAGGTCAGAGGAAGGGACAGGGTCCTTTGGAGAAGCTTGGCCAGGAGCTCTGGGAGGCTTCCACTGCCCTAATTGGTTACCGCCTTCCCACCTGCAGCCCTTCTGGAGGCCTGTGTGGAGCCTAAGGACCTGATGACCACCCTCTCCAACATGCTGCCAGTGCGCCTGGCCACTGCCATGATGGTGCCCTATACTCTGCCGCTGGAGAGTGCAGTGTCCTTCACCATTCGGTGAGGGTGGAAAGGGGGGTCTGGGGAGAACACGTCAACATATCATACATCGGAGACAGAAGTCTAGATCATCCCTGAGCCATAAGCTGCTTGGGAGATGTGGGGAGGGTAGATGTTCAGTATCTGGCGGGTGACCAGATACCTGCGGTTTCTGAGGTCATACTTGGTGCTCCCTTGCTAGCTTGTTGGAGTGGCTGCCCGATGTTCCTGAGGATATCCGGTGGATGAAAGAGCAGACAGGCAGCATCTGCCAGTACCTGGTGATGAGGGCCAAGAGGAAACTGGGTGACCACCTACCTTCCAGGTGAGCTGCCATGGCTGCCTATCCACCTGGGACCAGGGCCTGGGACCTCGGACACCCACTAAAGTCTTCTTTTCCTCCGTGCCTCCCCACCCTGCAGGCTGTCTGAGCAGGTGGAACTGCGTCGAGCCCAGTCTCTGCCCTCTGTGCCACTGTCTTGCGCCACCTACAGTGAGGCACTGCCCAACTGGGTACGAAACAACCTCTCACTGGGGGACGCTCTGGCCAAGTGGGAGGAATGCCAGCGCCAGCTGCTGCTGGGTCTCTTCTGCACCAATGTGGCCTTCCCTCCGGATGCCTTGCGAATGCGCACACCGGCCAGCCCTGCCTCCACAGACCCTGCCACCCCACAGCATCCACCTGGCCTCCCACCTTGCTGAGAACCATCATTCCCAGTTTCCTCTGCTACCAGCCAAGCTCCGAGTCGCCCTGCCCCACTTTGAGGAGCCCTGGGGTAGACTAAGCCCCTGTCCCTTGGCTCTCTCCCTTACATGCTGTGGAATGAGGACATAGGACCCTGCACAACTGCAAAGGGGACGGGGGTTGATGTAAAACATTTTACCAGCCACTCACCGTGCTGCTCCTCATGGGGAGGGCTGAGGCTCATCCTCTCTGGGAGCCCACAGAGCCATTCCCTCTCACCTGTGCCTTCCTCTCCCCTGCCCACCACCTTCTCAGTGCAGGGTCAGTCTTGAGAACTCCACAGCTGCTGCTGCTGCTCCCCGTTCTTCAAGTTTCCTTGCAGAGTGTGTCAAGAATTATTTATTTTTGCCAAAGTAGATATAATAAAAACCACAGCTCAGCTTCCGCCGTCCTCACCTCCACATGTTACTGCTGCCTCTGACTGAGGTCGGCAGACAGAGCCATCTCTCCGATGACCAATGTCTCAATAGCTAACAGTTGGGCCTCACAGAGTTGCTTTGAGACCCGGCAGCTGGCGACCCTCTGCTAGGGTCAGCCCTCTGACAAGGACTCATGGATGCCGCTCTGTTTGCCCCGAGGCCTCCTGACTGTCTCTTGGGCAGTGCTTCAAGTGCCAGCTGATAACGTTTAGGACTGAGAACCTCAGTATAATAAAAACTAAAATTTTGGGTTGGAGCAACTCAGTGGTCGAGCCCTTGTCCAGCAGGCACCAGGCCGGATTCCATCTCAACACTAGGGGGAAGATGTTTACAAAAGGTGTCACCCGCACATCCGCTCCACGTGGTGACACAGTGAGGGTGTGGATCAGGGCTGACTTCAGGGCTGGGTCCCTGGGAAGGGTGAAGCTTGTGGAGCTGAGGCCGGGGGACCAGGGAAGCTCAATCCCTGGCCCAGACTGGGCGCCTTGCTCAGAACTTGGTGCTTGGCTCTTCTTTCTCGGTTGTCACACTCCTCATTGCCAGGTGCGTGTGTGTATGTGCCTTTTTTGTCCTGTGATCATACCTGTCACCTTGGGAGTGGTCTGGAGTACCTAGGCAAGGTAGTGAGGTCCTAACTCAAGGGAGCAGCTCACCATGGTTTCCTGAAAGTATCCTCTGCTGGGATGTGTGTGGTGGTGTGCAGTCTCCCGAGGAAGGAGAACTGGGAGGGGTGAGTTTAGCTGTCAGTCTGCAGGACTTGGCTTAGTCCTCCGTGCTCAGCACCTACTTGGCCCCTCCCAAAAGGTGCACAGAGACTGCGGTTGCAGCCCCTAGCCAACAATAACGGTTGGTCTGGTTATGGGACCTGGGACAGCAGGACTGGGCGAGCCGGCCAGGCAGGTCCCTGGCCTAGGTGCCAGGGGCCGCCCCTCCTCTTGTCTCCAGGTCCTGTCCTATAGGGCCAGCCTGTTGTGGTTCTACTTGAGAAGCACAGGGCCCCCCAGCGCCTCTGCAGCCTGTGACACCCAGGCCAGCTTTTCAGGTCAGTTTAGGGGTTTGATGGGGGGCATACCCTTGGAAGTGGATAGATTTCCTCCGAAGTAGAACTTTGGCACCATCTCCTAGAGTTCTCCTAGGCCTAGGGGAACTCTAATCAGGACTGTGCCCCAAAAGGAGCGCTGGGGGCAGACTGCTGAGGCGGCCTCACCGTGGCCTCACACTTACTTCACTCAAACGGGAGTGCCGCTAACGCTCATGTCTTTCGCTAGCATTCAAACTTAGAAGACTCCAAACTGAAAAAGTATAGAGACGAAAAGTCTAGTCTCCCTAGCCCTGGATACAGCCACTGAAAGTATTTGGTCTATTTCCTGCTCGGCATTTTCCTACACACACTTTTGGCACCCTAAGTCTGGATATTCCTGGCCGAGTGGGGGCTGGTATCTGCACCTCCGCGGCCTTGATCCTGTCCTGGAAGGGTCTTGGGGTGGGGGTGAGGGACACGACGTCAACATTGCTGCCTCCTGTGGCTCTCCCGGGAGAGTTAGCCACCCTGGGTCGGGCCATCAAGATAGGGAGAGGCGGGACAAAGCAACAGCAGCGCTCCGGTGGATTCACCCGGACGTACTATCCCGGGGTCTCCCCGCCTGTAAGGCCGCAAGGTCGCTGTGGGTCCGGGCCCCTAGCAGGCTGTCGGGGTCCGGGCAGGGGCGGGGCGCGCCGCGCGTTGCGTTTCCGGGAGGAGCGGCCCGTCTGCGGCAGGTGCGGCGGTGCGGCTCGCAGGTAGGTATTGGTTCGCAGGTCCCGCGGCTGGGGTCCCAGCGCCGCACCTGCCGGGCTTCCCTAACCCCAACCCCGGGATCCCCGCCCCGGTGGTCGCGCCTACGGACTGTTGTGTGGAGTGGCGACCGCACGCGTCTGTCTGGGACGCCTGTGTTCCCGAGGTACACCACAGCTAGCCTAGACGTATGTGGATGAGGTTTGCCTGTGGGCCCACCCGCTGGACTCCCCGGAGCATGGCTGCAGCTCAGCTTCCGGCTAGGATGGACCTCCGGTCCTGTGGAGCCCTTGAGCCGTTGCTGACCGTGTCTGGTTGAAGTGAGAGTAGCCGTCAAGGGGCAATGACTCCAGATTGTCCTTTCCTGCTGCTTCCTCGTGTTTGCTTATTGGATTATCATCCCTCTACTCCTGGAATATGGGTAGGGGGACTGAGAAGTGAGATAGCCGGTCTGAGTTGGTGTCACTGGGCTGTAGCTTTGGGAAATCTGAGGTTAGGGCACTGTGGGACACACAGGTGGTCCTGATTAGAGGTGGGCTGTTCATTCCAGGAGGTGAGAGGGAGGCCCCAGGGGAAGAGAAAAGGATCAGAGGCTGTCTTAAACCAAGATGTGGGGGTGTTTCTTACAAAAGCTGTCCAGTGCCTGGGGCTGGGACCTTGCACCTGCACCCTTAAGGCCTCATTGGCAGGTGGGAGTGGCTGATGGAGTTTACTCTCTGCTTGCCAGCTGTCAGAAGGCCAGGGTATCACAGGCTGGGGCCTGAGGCTAAGGACTTGGTCAGGAGTGATTCCATCCTCTTCCTTAGGCAGCCCCAAGTCCCAGCTCGGGCTCTCCCAAGTCCAGGATGTGGCCGATCTTCACCCTCTGGCCCTCTGTCACTGCAAAATCTCTCTCCTGGCTGCCAAGAGCTGGTCACCTATTTCTACAAGTCTTCTGTAGCAACTCCACCCTTTCACTTTTCTCCTCTTCCTCCTTTTTTGATTCTTAGAGACAAGGCTTCTTTGTGTAACAGTCCTGGCTGTCCTGAAACTCACTTGGTAGATCAGGCTGGCCTCGAACTCACAGAGATCTGTCTTCCTCTGCCTTCTGAGTACTGGGGCTACAGGCTTGTGCCATTATGCCTGGTTTCTCATTTCTCTCTCTCTCTCTTTCTTCTCTTTCTTCTCTTCTCTTTTCTTTCTTTCCTTTTCTTTCTTTCTTTCTGTCTTTTTTTTTTTTTTTTTTTTGAGATAGGATCTCACTACATAGCTTTGGATGTCTTGGAACTTGCTGTGTAGAGCAACCTGGCCTTGAACTCTACCTAACTTCACCTCCAGAGTGCTGGGATTAAGAGTGTGTGCTGCTGGGCGGTGGTGGCATACAGTTTTAATCCCAGCACTTGGGAGGCAGAGGCTGGTGGATCTCTCTGAGTTCAAGGTCAGCCTGGTCTACAGAGTGAGTTCCTGGACAGGCTCCAAAGCTACATAGAGACACCCTGTCTCAGAAAATTAAATAAAATAATAAAATAAAAGTGTATGCCACCCCTATGCCACCTCAGGACAACCAGGACCATCACAGAGACAAATCCTGTCTCCTAAACCAAAAACAAACAAAGTATATGCCACCATAGCAGACTCACCCTCACTTTCTCAAACAAGCTCTGTCCTGGGAGCCTTTCCCCCAAATCTCGACTTCCTGAGATGGTTGGTCCTGGGCAGCAACTCTGCTTCAGCCCAGCCCAGTGACATAGAGCACCCCGTCCGTCACAACGCTTTGCCTTCTGTTCATTTTCCTACCTGGAGCCCTCGCTCTATCTGTACCCTCTGACACACCTTCATCCCCCCCTCCCATGTCTTCTAACCTTCCCTTGGCTTCACAGCACCCACTAGAGCCAAGATTTACTCCTATGGCCAGCCCTGGGCAGCCTGCGCCTGGGGAGGGCCAGCAGGAAGAGGAGACAGAAGGAGTTTCAGCAGGGCATCGTGCAGAAGTGCTGAGGCAGGCCCAGGAGCTCTTTCTGCTGTGTGACAAGGATGCTAAGGGCTTCATCACTAGGCGGGACTTACAGGTGAGCTACAGCTCCCAGAGGCTGCCAGGCCCAAGGCCGACCTTGGCTGCTCACCTTGGTCTTTCTTGCCTGGCTAGGGCCTACAGAGTGATCTGCCCCTTACGCCTGAGCAGTTGGAGGCTGTGTTTGAAAGTCTGGACCAGGCCCACACTGGCTTCCTCACAGCCCGGGAGTTCTGCCTAGGCCTGGGTGAGCAGGTCCCAGCCACCTGGAGACCGTATTGACGCCCCTGTGAGACTCTACCCAGTCTGTGCCTTTCACAACTCCCCAAGCATTCCTGTCTACAGTCACCTTGTGAGCTGCACCACCCCCAGCTACTCTGCCCTGTATATGGTCTGCCCTCCCCCAATCCCTTCTCTGCCAACCCAGGTGGGGCGGGGGAGCTGGCTGTCATTTCCCATTCCCAGGCCAATAGAACCAGAACAAGGAAGAAAAACAGGAAACTGGGCCCTGAGAGAGGGCAGGATGTGTTGTATGTGACGGGGGAGTTGGGGAGGTCCTGGGTGTTAACCCACAGTCCTGGTCATCTTTCCTCCCATGTCTGCAGGGAAGTTTGTGGGGGTGGAGTGGGCCCAAAGTGGGTCCTCCTTGAGGACTCCTGAGGAAACCTTTGAGTCAAGCACAGGGGGCTCTCTGGAAGAGGACGACGATGTTGAGACATTCTGCACTTCTTTAGAGAAGCTGGGAGTGGCCCGGGTTCTGGGCGAGTGAGTTGACGATGGGTCCACTCCCTTTTCCCGCTTTTTCCCTCTCCTCAGCATGTTCTGTCCACCTTGCCTGCTTGTCTGTTGCCACGGAATCCCTCGGCCTGGCTAGTCTATCCTTGTTAGTTGTGGCTGTCTGGGAGAGCGGCCTGGCGTGATTTTCCTCAGGATTTGCATTTCAGGAGGCTATAGCCCTGCAGGGCAGGGCGCCACCAGACACCTAGTAACCCACTGGCATAGCTCTCGGTACACAGGCCACCTTGCAGGCTAAGCAGGCATGAGAGCACTCTCCATAGGGATGAGCTGTGCGTAGCCGAAGTGGCCAGTTCTGGACCACTGGGTTCTCCAGGGGGTTCACCATTCGCAAAGGGGACACTCTCCCCCTGCACCTGCCAGCTCCAGTCTCCGTTCACTCCCTCTAGGCAATGGGCGGTGAGGACACTCTGGGTCGGGCTGCAGCGCGAGCGACCCGAGCTGCTGGGCTCCCTGGAGGAAGTTCTGATGCGCGCGTCTGCCTGCCTGGAGGCGGCGGCCCGGGAGCGCGACGGTTTGGAGCAGGCGCTGCGGCGGTGAGGGCTGGCCTGGCAAGGTTTATTTTTTGGGGGGGGTCTCACGAGGGGACAGAGACGAAACTGGCAAATGATCTGATCATGCCTGTGATACCCCGGTTCCTCGAAGGCGGGAGAGTGAGCACGAGAGGGAGGTGCGCGGACTCTACGAAGAGCTGGAGCAGCAGCTGGGGGAGCAGCAGCTGGGGGAGCAGCGACACCGCGGCCAGAGCCAGGTGGGCCCGCGTATGCCACGCCCAGCCTCGCTGGCTTCTCTGGCTCCGCCTTCCCCGAACTGGTCCCTCCTCGGAGGACTCACCTCCCGGGAGTCCAAGCTGCCCCAAGTCCGGGGAACTCTGCCTCCGCAAGTGCCCCCTCCCGCGCTCTCCACCCCTTTGCTCCCCACCCTGCCTCCTCTGAGCCGGGAACAGAGGCTCTAGTGCGGCTGTACATCCCAGAAACTAGCCCGGGAGGAACAGAGGGGCCACCTGGAACTGGAGCTGCAGACCCGCGAGCAGGAGCTGGAGCGCGCAGGCCTGCGGCAGCGGGAGGTACGCCCTAGTCAGTTCACGCCTGCATCCTCGCACAGGCGACTTCTTTGGTGGTGGTGGTGTCCTCGTGTTAATGGGCAAAGGGTCCGCTTGGCATTGGGGGGTGTTGGGGGGAGCGTGGGGAGTCTCCAGCAGCCTTCCACCATTCCCCAGCTGGAACAGCAGCTGCAGGCCCGGACTGAGGAACAGCTAGAGGCACAGGCCCAGCACACCCAGCTGCGTAGGGCCTATGAGGCCGTGCGGGCACAGCTGGATCAGGCGCAAGAGCAGCTCAGCCGACTGGAGGGTGAAGCGCAGGGTCGTCAGGAGCAAACCCAAAGGTGCGATGAGGTGCCTGTGGTGAGGGTAGAGGGTTCCTTCCCCCACCTCGCATCTGGATCACCACCTTCTACCCACAGAGATGTGGTTGCTGTCTCCAGGAACATGCAGAAGGAGAAACTCAGCCTCCTAAGGCAGCTGGAGCTGCTGAGGTGGGTCAGGCCTACCTAGGTTGTGTGCAGAAGTGGTTTCAAGTTCTCAGATATTCTTGCCTCCTACCCATCTTGCTGGAAGTCTTTATGTCTGTCCTATAGCATTCATGCTGCAGTCGGTAGTCCTCTGGACTCAGGGGGACCAACCCATGTTCCCCACTTACTGCCTCCTCCAGGTCTTAACCCCCTCAGTCTCCAACTCTTCTTCTCTAGGGAGCTGAACCTGCGGCTTCGGGATGAGAGAGATGCCTGTGAGACTAAGCTGCTGGGCAGCAGTCACAGGAAGGCTCTAGCTATTGCCCACAAGCCTGGGCCCACCTACTGCTGCTGCTGCTGTGGCTGGGCTCGGCCCCCCAGAAGAGGTTCTGGCCATCTTCCTAGTGCCCGATGACCAGCCCCAAATGACTCACTGGAACTTTCTTATGACCAGTTGGTTATGTGCGGTGGTTGCCTGCTAAGTATGTAGCCAGAAGGCATCACTTGCCTGAAGGAGCTAACCTCTGAGTGGTCAAGACCTTCCGTCTCCATCCTGTCTTCATCTCTGTTTAGCGGACCAATAAAGGCTACTGACCACTGTGTGCTTCTTGCCTTTTGTGTGTCTGGAAAGCACAGCACATTTGTGGTTCATGCTTGGCGGCCGTTGCACAAGGGGACATGGAGAGATTCACAGGTTCACACTAACCTGCCATTCCCGTAGCTGTGGATTCCTGTGTGCTTGTGTATGTTCTGTGATTCTGGTCATTTGCTAAGCCCTTCCTTACCATCCATCTCGGCTGAAGCTCCAAGGACTCAGGTTTCAACAAGCGTCCACTCCCATGCTAGTCCTTATGTGGAAAGGGAGTCTTGCCCCTCACTTTCATGGTCAGCTACATGGTCCAGGCCCTTACTCCCTCATCCTCTGGCACCGTTCCTAGACAGGCCATATGCCCTCCTAACTTGGTACTTCTTGCAGGGCCCTCACGTGTCTGTGGGGTTCCCGGCACTCACCACCACACTGGACCTGGAGCTCCCCCTCTGGCATTTCCTCAGCCGCTAGAACCTGCAGCCTCAGAGTGGTTCCCTGACTTTGACTGGAGGAATATTTGGTCTTGGTCTCAGTTCTGGTGGTCTAGGTGCCACCTTCTCCACCTCTCTACTCCCCATCCGGGTTCTGTCTCCCGCCTAGCTCTTCTGTCTCTGAATGAGTAGGGGGTCTTGGTGACCACCGGTGCCCTCAAGTTAACTTTCCGGCCGCACAGACGGGGCAGGTTCCAGGTCTCGCCGTGCTGTGAGGTCTCCCGCGCGCCGTTGCACCAAACCGGTTGGGACTTGCCCTACCCAGGCCGGTCGTAGGCGGGGCTGCGCCCGGGGCGGGGTCGCTTGCGGGGCGTGTCCTCGCAGGCCCCGGGCCGAGCATTCTGAGCACTCCTAGCGAACACTCCTACAGCCGCCGCCGGGGCTGATACTCCAAAGTGTGGTTGGTGAGTGCTCCACGGAGTCAGGTCGTAGGGTGTAGGAATCAGCGTCCCGAGTGCCTCGCGCACCGATGTCTCTAGTCCTCACCGCTGGCCTCGGGGACGCCCAGGAGGCAGCGCCGGTAGGAAGCGCTGCAGGCTCCTTTCCGGAAGATCGACGCCGGGGCGGGAGAGTAGAAGCGGAGGGGGAAGGGAGAGGGCCTCCAGGCTTCTTGAACAGGCCTGGAGGTCCCTTTCATGAAGAAACCCAGAGAGTCAAAATCCGATCACCAGATTCATTGTCCCTGGACACCGGTTCCCTCCCTCTGAGACCGCAGATCCGCCCATTGGCATGGGGGGGAGTGGGGAGACGGGGAGGGGCGGTGGTGACTTCATTTCGGTGACGCGGGGATTCCTTGCCTAGCCGCCTTCAGTCCCTCGGTGAGGCGGGTGCCGAGTGCCATGGAGAGCACAGAAGTCCAGGGGCTAAGTGTAGGGCGGTTGTGTCCAGGCCCAGGAGCTATTTCTGGCTGATCGCGGCTCCCACGCCGGCCCTTTCTCAGGAAATTAACATTCAGTCTGCTGACTGTGCCTTAGGTTGCTGGATGTGTTCAGAAGCAGCACCCCATAGAATCTGAGCTTTTAGAGACTGACCCCGGGGCATGTATTGTGGTCGGGCCTCTGTGTCTTGCCCTTCCTTCAGTGAGACAGCGTGTGTATTTGGGTCCCATTTCCAAATGAAGGTCTGTAATCTCTCCCATCCCCAGTGGTGGACAGTTGATCCCCCTCCCCCTCCAGTCAGCAGTCGGTGCTGTTTGGTGGGGGAGGGACAGTGGTGGATGGGTCTGGAGGGTGGAGCACCTGGAGAAGGCATTTGGTTCCTCCCTAGATCAGGCTGGCCAGCAATGTCCTCTGCCCCACCCTGGTCCAGAAGAAAATAGTAGGCCTGACTGTTATGCCTGCTTCCAGATCCCGTGGCGCTGGAACTCATTCTGACCACTGCGTCAGCCGCCAGAGGAGGAGCGGCACGATCCCACCTGCCAGGTGAAGGGCAGACCACTGACTTTTGACCTGTACCGGTTGGTCTTTCTGACTTACACAGGTGAGTGCTGAGTGCTTGGGCAGAGCCTGCAGGTGGCAGGGGAAAAGTCCTGCATAGTGGCATAGTGCCTGTCTAGAAACCTGGCCTGGGGTGCTCAGCTGAGGTCCGTACTGCATATGGTCCACAGTGCAGACACTGCTATGTCTAGGGCAGGATGTGCCCAGGGGACCTTTTGGGGAATGGCACATCCACATCTATGGAACTGAGGGCCCCCTCCTACTGTCTGGAGGGGAGCTGATTGTGCAGGCTCCACCTACCGGCACCTCTATTGTCCCTGCCCTGGCTGAGAGTAGAGAGGCTGCTCCTTGAACCCTCACTATCTACCTGAGGTCCGTCTGCGCTCTCTGCTTCTCTGCCACATCTGGGGGTATTAGTGCTAAGCAATCAGTCTGATGTGGGGCTCCAGGAATGCTGTGGGGGTGGCAGTCCACAGGAATGCATCCTGATGGTCTGCTGGGTCCCCGTGTCGTCCCCACCCCCGGTTGCCAGTAGGACTGAGTCACCAGATGTTTGAGGGTCTTCCATGACAATTCAATATGGGTGTCTGGCTGTGAGAAGGAGTGTTAGACCTGACCAGTTGTCCAGGAAGTGACTCATATGTTTCCTGGGAAGGCTCCTCTCAAGGCAGATAGCTGGCTGAGCTCCAAACTCTGTTAGTATCTAGGGGTGGCTGCATCCCCTCCTGTCCCATTGGTTTCGAGCTTTCTTCTTAATTGGAGGCCTGGTGCTTCCGCCGTCTGACCTTCACATTTCTGCAGGCCCAGCATGGGTGAATTCAATGAGAAGAAGGCAACATGCGGCACAGTCTGCCTCAAGTATCTGCTGTTCACCTACAACTGCTGCTTCTGGGTGAGATGCACTGTATTCTCCCTATATCCCTGTTCTTCTTCCTCCTGGAGGCCTGGCCTAGGGACTTGGTCCCAGCTGCCAGACCCAGGCCAAATGTGGTGACCCGTACACATTTCCTACAGCTGGCCGGCCTGGCTGTCATGGCAGTGGGCATTTGGACACTGGCCCTCAAGAGCGACTACATTAGTCTGCTGGCTTCAAACACCTACCTAGCCACAGCCTACATCTTAGTGGTGGCCGGTGTTGTTGTCATGGTGACTGGAGTCCTGGGCTGCTGTGCCACTTTCAAGGAGCGACGGAACCTGTTACGTTTGGTCAGCAGGGCCTGGTGGCACATGGTGGGAGCGGTGGGACTGGGGATGTCTGGCATGGGTTTCGCAGGGGCCCATGGTACTGGTTCTGGGACTTGATTCTGGTTAAGTATGTTACTGCAGGCTGTCCCCGTTGAACTCACTGGGGCGTCCCCTAGCTGGACCAGCTGAGGGCATACACCAGGTCCAGAGAAGTATCAGGATCCAGGTGGTGCCAGCCTGTAGCTAATTGGATTCCTCCTGCTTGGTCTCTTGGGTTGGGACTTGCTTTGTGGTGCTCTGGCACTACGGAACCCCAATTTACTGGGTCCCTGCTTCCTAGTACTTCATCCTGCTCCTCATCATCTTCCTGCTGGAGATCATTGCTGGCATCCTGGCCTATGTCTATTACCAACAGGTAAGGGCCTGCACTGGCTATAGGGTATATCCAAAACAGGTGTGCACATGGGCAGGTGGATCCCAAGGCTGACTTAGCACTTACGGGAACGCAGGTATGCATAGGGTGTAGAGTATCACTAATTTCAGGCTGACCTTGTGCTTGCCCGCCTGGTGACTCTTCTAGTTCTGTCAGTCCCACGGGGGGGGGGGGGGCCCGCCCCCCGCTTTGCCCTTGGGGGGGGTCTTAGACTTTGATCCTACCCACAGCTGAACTCAGAGCTCAAGGAGAATCTGAAGGACACCATGATCAAGAAATACGAACAGCCAGGCCATGAGGGTGTGACCAGTGCTGTAGACAAGCTGCAGCAGGAGGTAGGTCTCCCCCATTACTCTCCAGTTTCCCAGCACGGAGCCATGTGCTGGCAGGCTGCAGGGCTCAGCCACATGTCCCTTGCAGTTCCACTGCTGTGGCAGCAACAATTCTCAAGACTGGCGAGACAGTGAGTGGATCCGCTCTGGTAAGGCGGACAACCGTGTGGTTCCTGATAGCTGCTGTAAGACTGTGGTACCCGAATGTGGTAGGCGGGACCATGCCTCCAACATCTATAAAGTAGAGGTAGGTGGGTGCTCAGCAAGGGGCTTGCTGACTTTTAGGGTAGCAGGGCCCAAAGGGCTGTATGTGGGAGCCACCAAGGTCCACCACCGCTCTCTCCCCCACTAGGGTGGCTGTATCAGTAAGCTGGAGACCTTTATTCAGGAGCACCTGCGCGTCATCGGGGCTGTGGGCATTGGCATTGCCTGTGTGCAGGTGAGGAAACATGGGTGAAGAGGTGGGAACGCTGGGGTGGCTGGTGGTCCGCAGCCCTGTTCACACCATCCTGGCCCTCTGCAGGTCTTCGGCATGATCTTCACCTGCTGCTTGTACAGAAGCCTCAAGTTGGAGCACTACTGACCACGGTGCCAGGCAGGCTGCCAGCCTTGCACTATGTCCTACCCCACTACGAAGTACTACTGAGTTAGACTGCTGACTGCCAGAGAGGTAGCTGTCCTCACGCCATCACTACAGCCCCTGGTGACCCCACCTCAGGCGTAGCTTCAAGTGCCTTTCACTGCATACCAAAGTCCCAAGGCTTGAGGCCATGTACTTGCCCCAGCATAAGAGGGGCAGGTATGCCAGTGTTGGGCTAGGCCTCGCTGGTAGAATAGGTTTTAGATTATTTGACAAAAGTGCCTCTTGCCCACAGACTACTTTCCTGCGGGTAGCTGTGATTTACAGGAAGTCTGGGGAGAACTTGGGTATACCACCTGCATGGTGGGCAGAAGCAGATGGGAAGGGCCGTTCTAGGTGGGCTAGGTACCTCTCATGTCTGCCCCTGGGAACCCTCAGATCTGCTTACCCCAAACCAATGGGGAAAGTTGAGGGGAACTCCATCCAACCCCACTGTATATGCCTTGTCCTCTCCACCCAGGCCTCTCTTGCTCCTAACAGCCTCGGCCCTGGCTTT